CTTTCCGAACACGTGGAATCGTAAAATTAATTTCCATGGTCAAATCGAAACTGACAAACTTTTTCGAAATCTGTAACAAATTCTCAAATTGATATAGCAAATTATTAGACGAACATTCAAGAGGTTGTATAGCTGATAAAAGGTCGACCCATATATATGTATATCTGTAGGTATTGCAAAGAGGTTTTCACCGTGGTAAGGAAGCACGTGGCGTTGTTTGGGTTGCCATGTCTCAGGCGCCAAGGCCCAAGCCGATGTTTATCCTCTTAAAGGATCCAACCCTCGTAATATTTTGGTGATGCGCAACGCCACCCTCTCGGTATCATCTCCTTTTCTTGCTAACCGAACAACTCAGTGACTGGCGCCTCTACTGTCAACCAGGATATGATATATGTACGTTACTGGTATACCGGTAACTTGTACTAAGGGTGGTATATTCCAGGGGTAGCGATAGACGATGGGCGATGGGTAATATTACTGGGAAGTACCACTAGAGAAAATCCATGGAGTTGCTTTAGGGGCGCTTCGCCCCCGCAGCATCGAAAGATCATATTCTTATCATTATTGATATCCTCAGATGATCTGCCGCTAAGCTTATTGATATTGGATGTCGCATCTCGTGTTAGCCTACGGGATGTTCTATAAAAAAAAAAAAATTCATCCACAATCTTTAACCCCTATTTCCACCTCGAAGTAGCTCCTGATATACCTTGAAGGGGGGAGGATCATAATCTCAAGGTGAAGAAAGTCATTTTTTCCTTAAAATGGATTAGTGTCCTAATGGAGAACTGCTGCCTGACCCGGAAGTGGAATCTAGGCCGACAAAGTGTTGGTGTAGATGAAAGCGGAAGTGATCTTCTCGAAAGAATTATTTCTTGGTAATTGAGGGGAATCTCGCGGATCAGGAATATAACTGGTCTCGTATCGCATTTAGGGGAAGCCCCTACGGGGATCCTAATACAAGAGAATCCATTTAATACCAATTCATTTTTTCATCGTCCCATAACAAATCCACACCTAATCGAATCGAAGGCTCGTCGAGGGTCGTGGAAAAGTGAGGGCCGGAGTTAATCCCGGTGCGCCTCAAAAACCGACCTAGGACAACGGTTCGCTCCTGATCTCGATTCTTTATCATCGTTTCTCACTCTCTTACGTGTACCGTAGCCGACCGACATTCTCTGACGAAACGGCCAGGCGCCATCGGCCATGAGATCCTTTTTGATAGGACACACAAGAGATGGTAGCCTACGGTGGCTTGGTTCGTATTGCATATAAAATTTGAATTTTTGAAAAGTTTCACAATGTTTACGATTCTACGAAATTTGACAAGAAATTATTTAAGGCGAGGAAAAATGAAAATAAGTACAAATCAAAGTCCCGTTGTCCATCCAAGTCTTTTAGGAGACCCCGAAGACGAGACCCAAGGTCGACCAGGGTGTGCAGATCGTGGCTACAGCACTGTCTAAGAGAGATACACTTTTTGTGGGTTTCTAGGCCGCTAAGGAGCGAATGAATGAACACGGACCTCCGTAATTCATTCATGTTTCAAGAGGGTATAGCCTCCTCCTCCTCCTCTTCCTTGGAGGTTTGGAGGATGGGTGAGGAGACCCCTCATCTCGGCGGGATCCTTCCTTGTAACTCGCGCTGTTATATTTTGTTTGTCTGCTTCCGAGGAACCCGAGACCTCCCTTCCTCGCTCCTCCTCAGTCCTCCCCTTTCGCCGTGTTAGACCTCACTTAGACTTGGGATCTGGGTCAGATTATATGTATACAACTTGTAGAGCTAAATCCCATCGAGAACCCGGACCACCGTGATACTCTCTGACACTTTATTATCATCCAACCGATTATTTTCACTCCTCGCCCCCTCGCCATTCCCGATCAATTCTCGATCATCGATCCTCGATCCTTGATCCACGTACCCTTCGATCGTTCCCACCCCCAACCAGGGTCCTGCCAAGCGACGCCTCATAAAGGACCCACGTCGCCTATATCACAATAATAAACAAATTAAGAAACGATAAGCTAAAAATCATCTGCTAAACTAAAATATAGTACATGTATGAACAATTTGATAAAATACTCCAGATAGGCTGCCTCCTAATCCAACGAGAGGACTCATTGGGTGTGAGTAAAAACTGAACAGTGTCTGGCCTAACCTCCAAAGCAAGGTGTTATCGCTGCAGGATCACGCCAAGTTCCCAGTCGACTCACCTAGTGCAACCTCACTCCCGGCAACTGCATTCCATCGGTTTCCCCTGTTTCCGCCAATCGGATCGCAGCTATGGCGCAACCCAGTCGGCAGCACTTTGCCATATCGAATGTTCCGAGGGCATGGCGTGCTCGATTGTGCATTTCACGTTCACGCCAGCGCGCCACGTAAATCAGACATTGTTAACCAGTGCGTCTCAACCACTTTGGCTACTTCGTCCTGGACTCGTCTATCGACCGATGCAAAAGGTACAGCACCGTTATCGGTAACCAGGCTGAAGCTTCGTTTCCAAAAAAAATCGATCGCGAACAATGCACCAAAATGACGTTTGAGAAGTATAAGATCGGTTGAAAAATAAAATAAGGACCCTACTATCCAGACGTGGACAATTAATTTCCTAAATGACAATTAACGAAATTATTAATAAAAATACTAATGAACCTAAATAAGCCGTGATAGAAGCCTTCCTGTGTGGCCCGTAATTGTCATGCTAATCGTGAGCGTCTTCGAATCGTGTGTCAATTGGAACAATTCGTTCGGAGCGCCACGTCAATCTTGCTCCAGCGTTATTACCAAACTTAATTGACAAAGGGTAATTAAAGTGAGCGACGAGTGAAAATTCCGAGGATACGGAGCGGCGAGAAAAGAAGGAAAGAGAAAAAAATGTGAAAAGTAGATGAGAATGACGAGGCTCGGAAGCGACGGAGTCGCAGGCCGTTCGAAGGAGCTCGTAATCGGTTCCTAATAATCTTATAATGCCAGGATGAGAATTCGAAGGCAGGAGCAGCCAGGACGAGGAGTGGGGATGTATACAGGGAACGCGAGAATCCCAGGGCATTATCTAGCCGAACGAGTGAGACCACGCACAACTAAGATTATATTCTCATTAACTTGATGATCCTGACGAGAATTAATTGAGAAAAAATTGCTCGAGGAGCGCCGAACGATTTGGTACATTTATCCAGGAGTAAGGAACAATTCTTCCCTTAACTTCGTCCAGCCTTCCCGATCCTCGCAGTGTTATTTTTCTTTTCGTTCCTTTAAAACACTTTTTCTTTGCGCGCGCTGCGCAACGCTCCTGCGCAGAGGGACATCGACACCTTGGCCTTTGGCTCGTTCACATGAATATCTACAAACTGGTATCCCCGAGGTGGCGAAGAACCTGGAGAAAAGGAATCGCGACTGCTTCCAGTTCCTAATTAAAGTCCTGAAATCTTGGCAGGATATCTGTGGCTAACGCGATCCGTTCTGGACTGCCGATTATAAACAGGATCAGGAGCAATGGTGCTTGAGAGAGAGAGCGAGAGAGAGAGAGAGAGAGAGAGAGAGAGTCTATAGGTTGGTAGGACTTGTCTAAAAGGCTAATCTCCATGACTGCGATGAAACGAGGTCTGGAAGAGTTGTCAATGCCTAATTAGTTTTACTCCACCGGATTGGTCTGTGGTGTTATCGTAAATTTAGATACTCTTCGTATTTATCTTTAATTTAATTTTTTTCAGTGTCGATCCTAAAGAATTTTATTTTTCAATCACCGTTCGACTGGTCTGCTTCTTCGATGTGCCAATTTTATTCACGGTGTCTGCATTCGTGCAGCAGCGCCGCTTACGGCCCTACGGCCATATGACTATGCGGCTGCGTCGTTATGCGGCCGTTCGACTATTCGGCAGGAATCGAAGAGAGGAAAAAGATTAAAGAGAGAAGATCGCGAGTGGGCCCAATCCTCGCAAAAATGCCCTCTAACAAGAAGGGCCCTGTGGCCCAACAAATTCCTCGCGACTTTCGCACAATCAAATTATTCTTAGAAGAGGAGACCGTCTCGCGAGCATGTGTCGACGGCGCTGACGTCATCCTGCAAGACGCCGACTGGTCTCAGCAGACTGATTGTGAGAGAGGAAGTCAAGGCGCCGCAGTCGTTTTACTTACTTACTTACTTACCTACTCCTCTCTCTTTTCATATCCAGAACGTGACGTAATTCCGGTACACGTGCCGGCAGCTATCGCCGACAAAGGATTCTTAAGAAATATGCAAATAAATATTCAGGATCGTCGCCGTCTGACTTTACCAAAAAAAAAAAAACAGCTCTCGTCCTTGTCTCTCCGAGTAAAATTTAATATCTCTACTCGCGATTCGTTCCTGCGCGGTTTCTACGTGGATTCGGACGTCGATCATTCTCCCACGGTGGTCATTCCTTTGTCTTCGTGGAAGAGTGACTCTCGTCGCTGACCTCCGCGAGTGGCGCATTGTTGTCCCGTGTTTCACGGCGTCGTCAAATAAATTCGTCGATCGAGCCAAATACTGACAGGGCAACGTGGACGATGAAAAAGAAGACGCTGGACGCCGATACGCTACAGTGACCGGGAAGGGGGGAGGGGGGTGGTCCTGAGGGATGCTGTGGAATAGATCGTAAGAGGAAGATTCGCGAGGTGGATCGGCCACAGTGAGATAGCCTAAGGAATCGCCGGTTGGAAACGGCCATGAACCATTTTCGCCCTTAGAGCAGCCGCGGCGCGACGCATGCAGCATACAACACAGACAAAATAAAAATAAGATGAAAGAACCGGGCAAGTTCTCTGGTGTCCGCGATGGTGGCGGCGGTGGCGGCGGTGGGACCAGCGGAGCCAATGGTGGCTCGCCGGGATAAGGAGAAGTCGAGCGATATTTCTCCCCGCGTGGCCGAAATCGCGCACGACCCGCTTTGCTCGATTTTGTAGCCTCGTAATTTATTAGAAGAGTTAATTAATAGGCCTGCAGGTAGATATACCGAACGGGATGTCTCACGGTGCTTGTGGCTGCCTCTGATTTAAACTGCTAGCTGTATATACATATCTACGATGATATAGAGACTGTACATATTTTGAACGCCCGGCGTCGCCACACGTGACGGCTCTATAACGTTTAATGCTGTCGCGAGAAAAAAAAAGGATACGACGAATATAGGTACCGGATGACTTTTCGAAAATATTCTTATACAGATATTTATTTATTTCCCTCGAGTCACCTTCTTTGATCTCTTATTTCCCGTTCCTTTCTTTCTTTTACTCTCCGGTCCAGACGCTATTTCTCTGACGATGGCGCGCGGCCTCGTATCGAATATCCACGCTAATATTTTCCTCTCTACTTGTTCTTTATTCCTGCCTTGACGCTCACATCGCGCGACGTCAACTGCACGCTGGAACAATTCAGCGTAAAGTCTAAAGCCACGTTCACACCGGAGCAACAGTTCTCATCCTTTCTCAATTGCCATTTCTCTTGATAATCCTTAGATCCGCTAGTTCCACCCGACCTGTCTTCAGTCTCGGGATCCTCTTCCTTTTTTTCTTCTAGATCCTCCCCGGAGCCATATGCGTCCACTTCCGGTCCAGCTGGACCCGTCGACGATTCTTTCTTCTGATCGGTTCTGCATTCGGACTGCCCGTGGTATTTCATCGCGATGCGAATTATGTGAGTCACTTCCGGACTTGGGCTGCGGGATGACCTCCTGACCTCCGTTTTCTTGCGAATGTTTATTCGCAGCTTCTCAGAAATTTCTGAACATATACAATCCTTCTGCACTTCCTCCAGGGCCGAGGACTTTCGATAGTCGGTACCTGAAATTCGTCCTTTTAACAATCAAACAACTTTTCTGAACCCAGTACCTCGTCAGCTGACAACGGGTAGCACCACCCTCTGTTCAAGGGCTCAAAACTGGTTGCAATGTACTCGGCGTTCTGCGCCTTCGTAACTGCAACCCGTTCAGCTCTCCCGCTCATGAAAACCAACAAACAGGATTCCTGACTGCAAGTGCACTTACTTACTCGTGTGCAATGTGCATATGCATGCAACGGAAAGCATGTACCCGGATGACGTAAGTGTTTTAAATCATCCATATGCAAATATGGCATCATATATGATTTAGGGTAAAGACTGATAACATTGATGAAGAGTGTGCATTCTACTGACAATAAGGCAGTTTAGAAGTCCATGCTGCTGACCTTCGTTCATGCTCCGCGTGCATTCCTCGAGGTCAGCCAAAGTCCTGCTGCACTCGGCGGATCCTACAGGCCGTTTCGCAGGATGGTTCCTCCGAGATTCCCGTGAATTCAGGATGCTCCTGTCCCGTTGCGTCTCGCGTCGAATTTCAGCGACCTTTTCCAAGAGTTCATCCAGTATCTCATCCTTATCCTCGTGACCGTTGCCTCCGGAGTCTCTGGTTCGTCCACGTGCACTCGCCTGGGACTCGATCAAAGGAATCGGACAATCTGGAAGCTCCAATGACGTAATCGTCAAAAAAGCTGACCTCTCGTTGGCAATCCTGTCGAGCCAGGACCTGAAATATTCCGTAAGTCAAGGTAAAGCCACTGGTAACCCTCGGGAAAAATGGCGTCGTGGGGACTGAGAAAAGAGTGAGAGAGCCGCCCCCCGGAAAAAAAAGAGCAAGACAAAGCACCAAAAACACGCAGTGGAATCAGCCGCGTGCCGTCTAACTGAATAGAAAAAAGAAAGGAATGAGTTTTTTATTAACGACAAGGGGTAACTGGATATGATTGTAGGCCTTGTACTCCGGCGAAATTGAACCTCGCGATTCGAGTTTCTCCGTAGAAACGAGAGCGATCATGGCCGCCGTGGCCGAGCCTTCCGAAATCGCAATAAACACAGTAACCTTGCCCATTGGCCGAATACTCTCGACATTGCCAAGTCGAGAGTCGAGGAGTTCAGGCTTTGAAACACAATACCCATAGCACGGACACCATAGATCGCCGTTTGCGATAGCGCCACTAGAGCCAAGCTCGTATTTTAATACGCTTAATGCGTTCAATAAGACGATAAGATTGGTCCGGTATCGATAGACAGGATCAAAAGAATTCGAAAGGCGAAATTCTCCATGGACCGGTGGCTATTTGTTCTATATCGATCCATTAAATTTTAGTACGTTTAATTACGGGTTACGGCCAACTACAGGGATAACGATAAGCAGCACGGTGGATTTCATTTTTTTATTTTTTTATTTTTTTTTTTCAAAATTTCTACCCAAAAGTGGCACTCTCCCTCTAATGTCTATGATTTCCTGTGAGCAACAACCTCATGTACCTCGAGGTCCTTCGTCCTCCTGGAGGGATGCTGCTCCGTGGATGACAGATACGCCGAGTCGGAGAATCCGACCTTGAGTTGGGTCGTTCTCTCGCGCTCTTAGGATCCTCTAGTGTTAGTCGCCGAATATATAGTCCTGGCACCTCCTCCACAAGGAGATGTCTTCTCCTGTACGAAGCCACAGTGACTAATCTCGTCGATCCTATGGATACGGATCGTTACTGTACCATAGCGAACTCTGCTGGCTCTGTCAATCCGGCTGAATGGACCTGTAGATCGAGACCCGTTAAAACGTTGTTTAGCAGGCTATTTTGAATTTTAATTTTCTTCTTTGGATCTTGCCAAGGTGTGGGATAGATTAGTTTTCGCTCGCATGGCTGTCAGCTACTTGCCGGGGGCTCCTTTCTCTCTCCCTCTTCCACCTTACCTATTTATTTCTCACTAGTCTCTCTCTCTCTCTCTCTCTCTCTCTCTCTCCCTCTCTCTTTCTATCTCACGACTCACTAGCCTTTGAGACCACCGCGATGTCTTCTCGCTCACCGCCTTCTCTATTAATGTACGCCTCGGTAATCGCGCGTAACACCCTCGATCGTGAATAAATTCGTTGATCGTCAAAGCCGGAGAACCCGCGTCAGACTTTTTACTTGATAACATGGATTTTTCTTGTTTTTAAGTAAAAATACGATAGTGACGTTATCAAAACGAAATTAAAATTACTGCTCAGGACGAAAGCCGCCGTTGCTAATACTTATCCATGAGATTGGTACATCCAAGAAAATCATCCCTTTATCGTTCCTCCGGTCTACTGTAATATTCAGTATATAGGGTGGTCATAAAGTCACCATCCATTCTCACAATTTCTTTTTACCAAAATGGATCAGCACTTTACGACCGTCTTGTAAATGCTTCTAAAGTACCGATCCAACCTATAGATCGGATGCAAAAAATATTCGTCACTGCAGTACTAACAAATTTTTTTTTTATTTATCAAATTCACATCCCAAGTGAATTTATCAAATAAGATGTCGGTTGATCGATCGTACGAGATGGATCGTTTTAAATTCACACAGTCGCCGATATCTTCGTGGGTGGACCACGGGTGGGGTCATCTTCTCTCTTCGCGGAATATGTTTACATTAACGGCGCGGCCAAAAAGTCCAAGCAAACCGCAAACTGCTTAACGAGTTCGGTTATGCTCTTTTTCTATTCTATGCGTGACCAAACTGCATCACCTATATGGACCAACACGCGCGTCCTGGCCAACGGAGAAATGTGCACACGCACACGCGCGTGTTCACGGACGAGATCGGTCCAGA